TTGGCCTTCAGCAACAGCTCAGGTAGCATCACGTTGAATATTTCATCAACAAAACTTTTTGTCGCCATGGTGATTCTAGGATTTATAGGGTTGGTGGGGTAGCCTAGTGGTTAAAGTGTTCCAGGTTCGATTCCCGACATGGGTTCATTGTGTAAAGCTGATTTCTGGTGTCCAACATCGTGTTATTGCTGGCATATTGCTAACAGTGGTGTAAAACCATACTCACTCACTCACTCACTCACTCGAGGATTTATAAATTTACTTTTGGTCACACGGTCCACTGGCAACTTATATACTACTGTAGCTGATGTCTTGAATAATTTTGAAGTTCATATGTAATATTAAATTCAGGAACATGTTTGCATAAAATAAACCACAAGTGCAAGTTGCTTATCATACATGTACAATACACAACGACTACAAGTCGTTTATTTCTTAAATGAGATAAACATGTGTAGCCTCTTAAAGGATGTTAATAAAATTTACAAGCATTAAAAATATTTACCCGTATTCAAATAATGACACCCTGAATACAATCTAACTTTGGAAATGTGGGAAAAGTCTATTTTATGAGCAGGGGGTTTGGTATTTACCATATAAAGTTGCGAGTGCATGTTGAATCTCCAGAAATTAAGCCATGATAGAACAATGTTTTATTGAGAAATAAACCATGCCTTGTCCCTAATTGTTTTTTTGCGATTTATCACATAGCTATCTTGTATTTGGTTATTTTTCATACCTAGAGTGAGAATGTAGAATATTATATGTCACTTAGTAGCAACAGGCCACATTGAATTGCACACATATATTTTACCAATGTCGGCAATTCAAACTCCGATATTTGCCATAATGTTCAAATGCTTTAACCACTTGGCAACAAGAGTGAGTGAGTGAGTTATGTTTAACACCGCTTTGAACAGTATTCCAGTTATACCACTGCCCGTCGGCTTAACGAGGGAGGAAATCCTGAAGTGATGCAGGTTTCAGACGTTAACCACTTTGGTGCTTGGCAACAACAGCTAAATTCAAACAAAGCATTTGGTTGTGACTAATGCACTGTGTACAGAACAGTAGGACAAAAAACTGGAAACTGGACTGAAATCTTAATTATGACACAGGGACTTTACTAAGTTTGCATCCCCGTGAAGATCCGGGGTAGATTAGGTCTTCAGTAACCCATGCTTGCCATAAAAGGCGACTATGCTTGTCATAAGAGGCGACGAACGGGATCGAGTGATCAGGCTTGCTGACTTCGTTGATGCATGTCATTGATCCCAATTGCATAGATCAATGCTCATGATGTCAATCACTGGACATTATTTACAGACTGCCATCATATAGCTGGAATATTACTGAGTGTGGCATTTTACAACAAACAAACAAACAAACTTAGTTGGCACCAAAGCTAAAAGAGTTTACAAGACATGACATGGAAACCCTCGATGATTTCGTTTAGAATCGAAATGCAAATTCCACAAATATGGTCTCTTGTTTGTTGTTTTATATCGTCATCAGCAGTGTCATGGCAGCCTGGAAATAAACAGGCCTGGGTCACACAACCCAGTGGTTGATATCATGAGCAATGTTCCGTGTCGTCACCGAGTCACCAAGCCTGGTCACCTATCCAATTTTAGTTGCCTCGTAGGACAAACAGATTACTTGGGACCAGTATCAACTTGCTATCCCAAACGGGCCCTGAAATGCATGTATATTATTCTAGCCCAAATATTTGGACAGGTCCTTGTCAAGTAAACTAAGCCAACACGATGTCTATTCCAAGTCTATGATTAAGCAAAGCAGTTATCCAAACGCTATCATGGCATAATGGAAATGAAACCTTGTGATATCATCACTGGCTATCTAGAAATGACAGCCATTCTGTAAATCATGTATTTCTCCCTAGCTGGCTTAATGTTGATTTAGCAGTATTTATCCAAATAGTTAGCAAACCATTAATGACACAAGGACACACATATACAAAAACATGGTCACATCATCATTATTACAGTGGTAGAAATTTGCACTAGTCTTAAAGTCCTAGTCTTAAAGTCCTTGCCAAACTGCCCAATAGTTAAGGTATCATAAGGACTAGTAGAAATTTGCCCTTTTTAAGAGTTTTGCTATATGTTATCATCATAAGGACTAGTGAAAACCATTACGACAAGCATAGTCGCCTTTTATGGCAAGCATGGGTTACTGAAGACCTAATCTACCCCGGATCTTCACAGGGATGCAAACTTAGTAAAGTCCCTGTGTCATAATTAAGATTTCATTCCAGTTACCAATGTTTTTTGTCCTACTGTTCTGTACACAGTGCATTAGTCACAACCAAATGCTTTGTTTGAATTTAGCTGTTGTTGCCAAGCACCAAAGTGGTAAACGTCTGAAACCTGCATGAAAACCATGAAAACTGTTTGTTTCTAACGCTGTATTATAACTTAAAATCACAATTGACATTAATTTATCACATTAAAACAGATTTCAGTGGGAAAATGATTGAGGTCTTATATTATTTGAGACACACACTAACAAAGTCTCCGACACAGTACCAATGCCGAGATTCCAACAAGGCCTCGGTTACAAGATACAGTTCTATATAGTGTTTCGTCAAACAAGCTGTTAAATACCAATATGCAGTCACAAGCATACACTTTATATGAGCAAGTGAAACTGACATACTGTTATATGTGCTGCTGTACTTGGGTTATCAGTAATACTTGATATGAGGTATATCTTTGCTCCTTAATGTCCAATTGTATCGATTGAGATACAATGACACAACTGTGCTCTGTATGAAGTGGCTGTGCTCTGTACAATGGCTGCTGATAGTAACAACACAGAACATCAAACTATCATCTGGAAGCTTAAAACTAGCTGTTACATAATATGCACTACATGCCATCACCACTTGAAAAGACATTGGACAAAAGTTTATTCAATGTTACTTTCTACAACATACACTGACAATTTCCTGAATGTAACGCTTAATACAACCATTATAATGGCCCACAGATGGAAATTTAAAAAATGACAAAAAAATGTATATTACTAAAATTATTAACACAAAACTTGTCATCTACAGATTCGTTACATACAGGTATACAAAAAGACAAGTTTTCATGAGGTGTTTGACACGAAAAAAGGAAAATAATCCTGTTGATTTTCTCACACAGTTATATTTTGTTGTTCCGCTGAACTTACTTATTCTACCCTGATATATCACAGAGCAAATGATGATGAATGACTTTGTAGACTTTTGTCCAATGTGTGAGTGCAACTACTATCCACCATGCATATGAAGCTGGTTACAAAGTACATAGTCACTCAAACCTGTTCAAGAAATATCAGTTCAAACTGGTTCAATAATAATCTGCTTGGATGATAAAATGTTTCTTTCAGGTTTATTTGTTTGTTGTTTATGCCACTGGATTATTCCAGCTGTATGACTGCGGACTGTAAATAATAGTCTTGACCAGAAAATCTAGTGATCGATATTGTGAGCAACGACCCTGGCCATTGATTTCGATGACACGCTATCCGACAAGTCACCAAGCCTGACACTCAGTCCATTTGGTCACCTCTTACGGTGGCAGGGAACCTGTTCTAACCCAGAATCCCCACGAGGCCACCTGTCTGAGGTAAAATGTGTACATATTCTCTGTTTCTTCAAAAAAAAAGAAAGCACATTTGCTTATCACTGACATACATTGAATCAAGATTACAAATAATGTCAAACCCATTGATTAGAACTGTTGTTTGTTCGTTAATGAAAATTGTGAGAGTCTGAACATAGTGAAGCAGAGAAAACAAGATCGTGATTTGAAAAAAATTGTAGGATTAAGTTTTGTTAATAAAATTTCGTATTTAAAATCACTAATGATTCCTTGTGAGAAAACCAAAATTCAACCAAAGGACAAATATATACAGTCGACATTAGTTTCTTAAAAAAAAACAAAAAAAACTAAATTATTATTTTATTTACACAAAACTTTCCTCACTTTCTAGATTATTAGACAGCATGTCTCTTAAAACTGTGCTCAGAATATTAATGATGATAATTCTAATTAATATATACAATCAATTAATGCCTTTTATGCTAAATGTAAAAGATTCACATTTAAAGAATTTGGATCAAGGATGAAAAAGTGAATATCACCCAGAGTAATGATTTCACAACACTTTTACTGTTGGCATTTACATCAATCGTTGCTGGCACAGAATTATCATTCAAACTTGTCACATTTATTTTCCTCCACTGGTGTACCCTATCTAGGTCTTACAAGGTTTCTCTATTTCTTACTGTACAGAAATAACCCAGGGAAAAAGACAACTTCTGTAAATGAAGTACTGCCAGCATCTATCATCTCGAATTACTAATCAACGTCATTGCCTCCAAACAAGTAACTTATATGATGACAAATTATTTTTTCATAAACTCATTGTGTAAATATAGATTTCTATGTTTTTCAACATCAGTTATCTTCCTTTATATTAGCAGTCATGTTTTAAAGGTAGGCTGCATTGTTTTTGTGGCAAGCAAATGTTTTGTCTGTGATAGTCAAATGGTTAGGATCTAACATCAAATGTATGTGAAAATCAGCATGTGCAAAGATGGAATCACGGGGTTAGAAATGACCAATATTTGTACGCAAGATGCAATAATATTTTGTTAACTGTTAGTAGTTTGGACATGCTGAGGAGATAAAACAAACCTGAATATGTCGCTTACATATTAACAACTTGTTTATTTATTGTCAAGATGAAGTACAATTTGTTAAATTTGCAAATAATTTTTAGAAAATGAACATAGTTCTTTTAAAATAATTTTTGAGAAAGGAGACGTCGATTACAACAAAGAAATAAGTTAGTGTTAGGTACTGTGTTAGACCTCTATGTCCTTCCGTAACCATTAGTTATGAACTGTCTACATCCCTGAGGAGGTTTGAGTGGCTCTTAGAGGAGTCAGCAAGCAACATGCTAAGAAAAATAAGCATATGTACCTTCCAACGGCAGTTTACGTTTACCAGTTGCTAAGCACACACACACAAAAAAGAGGGAAATAATCATTTAATGTCACCTCCAAAAAGCAATTGAAAACAAAGCTAAATGTGTTGCACCACGGTGGCGGCGCCTGGAGAGAGGCAGTGTCAGAACAACTGAGTAGGGAGTGGAATCGGTGCAAAACTGTATTCAGTAAATGGCATTCAGCTCTATCTCAGCTACGTTCATCGTGGCGGTCTCCCCTGTAGCTGTGCCTTGATCAGGCTAAATTCAATGAATGATTTGCCACCACGTCATTCAGCTCGGAGCAGAGTTTGTAACTGATGTTAATGTTAATATAAACCAAGACCAGTGACTGATAGTGGGAGTCAGTCAACTTCATTGGGTACGAATACATGATATGTCAGTAAACTGAAGGTGGAGTTGGTCATAAATCACAGTACTGATACAATCCCCGGACAGTGGCTGCTTGTGTAAGTAATAGTAATACTTTATCGGTCATGATGACATATTACATCAGCAGCTCAAGGTTTGTCATAGATACATGAAAACCACACTTGTCAAGACACAGCAGCCACCCAATACCCACTTTACAACAAACATGGATCGTTCCGAGGCTACTCTGACCAAGAATAACCACACTTGTCAAGACACAGCAGCCACCCAATACCCACTTTACAACAAACATGGATCGTTCCGAGGCTACTCTGACCTAAGATAACCCATTTGTCAAGACACAGCAGCCACCCAATACCCACTTTACAACAAACATGGATCATTCCAGGGCTACTCTGACCTAGAATCCTACTGAGGGATGACACATTAGTAAGTACCTAAACAGAACTAAGCAGGACCAACGAGACATGAGACTGAGAACAGGATCAGAAAGGTAACACTGCTGTGGTCCGCCTGTGAAATTCATGGTAGACTATCACTTGATCTGGAACGATACAATTGTCACAGACAGAATCCAAATTAGAGGTATCAAACCAATATGACATACCTCTGATGTCAAGCCTGATTTACCACATACCCTAACAACATATACAAGCCACCCTGTTTACTAATACCATACATTCTGTCTCAGACTGTCAACGTACTTTTACCAAATCAGATTTATACAGACAAATGGGGGAAAAAAGAGCATATTTACTGAATGAGACAAGATTCATAAATATTACATATGTCTGTCTTTCCATCGGGGCATTTAGGAACTGCCTGTCCGTGATCATTTCATCCAAGAAATGCATGTGGAATTCATGCAAGTCATGTGTGTTAACTTGCTTGTCTAACTTGCTAGTCACACATCTACCTACTTCCATGCATAACTAACCATGCATTCAGAACAAATTCATAACATACTCTTGTGCACAAAAAACCAAAACCACACTACATACTGTCTACATTTGCTAATACAATCTGGACAATCATCATCATCACCATCATCCCGCCGCCAATCAAAGCCATATGCATGCAGCAGTTCAAGCACCCTTGACCTCCTTCAAGAGGTCAGGTGAAAAACATCGCGTCCAAGATTATTGCACTTAAATAGCGACGTGCATGCACGTGTGTGGTGTGTTGTGTTGTGCGTGTGTGTTGTGTGTTGTGTGTGTGGTGTGTGGTGTGTGGTGTGTGGTGTGTACTAGTCCGGACTGATGCCAATTTATAGTGATAGCCCACTGAGATACCATGCCGCAGTTTAACATGAATACCCCACTCAGACACAGTATACTGACTCTGAGCCGACCAATCCTTGTTTTAGCCCCATAATGCTGAGCGCCAGACAGGGTAACAACAAGTGCCATCTTTTAACATCTTTTGGTATGACGCGGCCAGGGATCAAACCTCTTCGGGCGGACGCTCTACCTCTAGACCACGGAGGCGGTCTGACCTCCTTCAAGAGGCTACAGCCAATAAGAATCATTTATTCCACTTTGTGAAAGTAGTGACATGATATTCTAGATACTGGTAACAATAGACTATAATGACATTCATTACGGTTACCAGTTGGTGATTTTGTGAAACCCCTCTATAACTTAGTACAAGCTGCAATTGGCGTGACTTAATATTGAGCGAGTCTTGCCTTTGCAAAGTCACGATTTGTGACACCATATCTCCCAGTCATACACATGGGTTGTGACATTTTCCCAAGGCAAGGAAGTTAAGTGACTAGAAAAGTCCAGTTTCAACCCTTGCCGAAATAGGCTGGAATTATGGAGTTAGATTTTGGCTGGAATAAAGTCTATGCACAATTTGTCGAATGACGTCAACAATCTTCAGCTGTGACGTCATTCCAAAAATAATATAACAAAAACACTTAGTTGCATGAAGCTGTCATCTTTACACTGTCCTTATCAAACATTCGACAGCCATGCTGGCATATTTCGTCAACAGGATCCATATATTCATATTGTGCTGAATAAACACAAAGCCACTAGCTGCAAACTTAAAAAAGTACATCAGTAACAACTTGGAAAAATGATATTCATGCTGCTAAAAATAACCCAGGTAATGGAATCCTTATTTGGGCAAGCTTGCTGTCTACCTTTAAGGACAACCTACATTTGGGGGGCAATATTTGAGCAATAAATATCCAGTGATTGATATTATGAGTGATCAGTGTGCCATGCCCCTGGGGCATGATGACATGCAATCAACCAAGTCAGTGAGTCTGACCACCTGGTCTATTTAGTTTCCATGTAAGACAAGCATGGGTTGCTGGGGACCAATTCTAACCTTGAATCCTCATGGGACAGGTCTGGCTGTGGAGCGCCATTCCTTGTACAGCAACCATCATTCAACAGAGCTGAACATAAGCAGCTCACTCCATACCAGGTGAGATAAATTGAGCTTCATGTTCAAGATTCTTTCACTAATATAGAGAAGTGCATGCACATGTGTGTGTGCGGCTGCTTGTCCAGACTTTTGCTGGTTACATAGTGCTAACTCACTGAGATACCATGGTCTAGTTTAATATGGATACCCCACTCAGACACAGTATACTGACTTGGAGCCGACCAGTCCTTGTTTTATCCCCTTAATGCAGAGCGCCAGGCAGGGTAAAAACAAGTACCATCTTTTGCTATGACACTGCCAAGGGATCGAACACTGACCTTCCCCTCTCCAAGCAGATGTTCTATCCACAAGGCTACGGCCTCAGCCTCACTCCATACTAACAAGATGTGAGATAAGGTAAACTTGGTTACCTGAACAGTCATTTGTCCAGAGAACGAAGCTTGTGTAACATACGCACTAATAGCAACATAGGTTATCTGTTTCTGCAGCCACTGAATCAATTATTCAGGGATGAGGGAAAAGCTGGTGTGGTAATATCTCTTTACTCTTCTCCACTGTGCCTGATGTTCTACATCCACACATCCCTGACTTAATACACGACCTGTGGGATTGCCGCATCAGACTACAGCCCTCCGACCATGTTCCCGGAATAGTTCAACTCCTGTCAGGACCCTGAACATCAAAAGTCAATTACCACCATTTGGCTATACTTTTGTGACATTTTACGCTCTAAGTACATACAACACAATAGATTAGCTTTGGGCACTGATAGACTGGGCAGCTGAAGGAGCTGATCCCGAGAAACATGTTCGTTATTGAATGTGCTTCAGAGCTGATCACAACGGTGTTGACAGTGACGCTGGAGAGGTCATGCTATTACGACAACACTCTCGTCACTTCACCCACTCCGGGATGACACTTATGCCAGCACCAGAGTCTTCAGTTGTGTTGTAATGATCAACAGTGAAAACGGCTTGTGTCACTACAAAGGCTGTGATTATGCCCAACCTTCTGTTATGCCCATTACAAGATTTCCTGAACATTTCATATCAATTTAATTAGCAAACCTCTAAAGAACAGCATTTTCTCAGATGAAAATATACAAAGCTGCTTCCGCTGCCTTTTGTCAGTGTAAAGCAAACTTGATTGAATTCTACTGAAGCCAGTCCTTACTTGCCCAAAGGACACCTAACATACTAATCATATAACGATTAGCAAGGAAGCAGAATCTTGCTGAATTCTGAAGGGACATGATCAATGTCTCTCAACTTTCAGTAACACCTCCTAATCGTCCCTCTACAGCCCTTTCTACAGAGAGGTAGGTCGTGAAAGCTCAAAGGTCCTTGTCTAATAGTGCAACATGGCAGTAGGCAGCAACTAGAACTGACCTTGGCCTCATCAGTTTCAAATTATCTATTCTTGGAAACGAACACACGAAAACTATTTGCTTTCTCCCTTAATCATTTTGAAGCCAACGACCAAGAAACAAATCTATCTTTGAAATGTTTCAAATGACCCCCTAATGTGTTTTAGTGATTTGATTGGTGCCCTCTGCACAAGCTTGGAGACACAAATCTTGGATCAATAGCCACAATGTGTGTTAATGCAAATACACCTGTCTGTCCTTGTGCAGGACGTCACAGACCCATGACCGGGGCAGGACCGCTACAGAGGAGTACTGCTGTAGTCAGTCTGGTGCATCCTGGGGGCTGCAAGTTCGTGGACAGAGTCAGGAGGTGCTTGGAACATTATCATCTCGTTACCTTGTTCTTCAGACACATAATGTGAGGACTGTGAACTGGTTGTGATCAATGACTTTCTCAATGACCGAGCAACACAGCGGTAGAAACTACCATTTTGATCCACTAGTCCTTAGGGGTGACTATTGGTCTGGAAATCACTATTGCGATAACTACTGATATTGAAAGAAACTATTGCGATAACTATTGATATTGCAAGCAACTATTGAGATAAATATCGATAGTTTTCAGTGTATCATTTTAGTTGGGTTTTAGAGTTGAATTAAACCTTGGAACTGAAGTTTCCTTTGAATGTGATAACCATAACAACAAATATAAAGTAAAGTTTGAGATATGACTGATTTGTTTTTTCTTTACCCTCATAATTTAGGAAAAAGAAACTTCCACATTACCATGTGTAAATTGCTATCACTCATGATCAAAAGAAAAACAAATTTGAACAGCATTGCATGTATTTTATTGATATGGAAAAT